TATATCTTGTGAATTTTTTGTTTAGCTTTTAGCTGACAACGTGACCCGCCTAGAGTGTTACTTTTGGATTGATTGTTCTAATTTTGATTTCCATTTACTGGAATATGACACAACTGTGCTGATATACTCATAAATAAATTTCATTTCATTCGCTAAAAAATCTGTATTAGTTTTAAGCAGTTACTAGAAGTTATGCAAGAGTTTTTTTTTATGTTTTCTTAAGCATCGTATGTGTTTTATGAAACATGTGTGGTCTGCAATACTGTTGTTGCTGTTGGATCAGATTTACATTTTAAATTTCATCACAAATTTTCAATAAATATTTCATCAAATTCAAAGGCAACGTCGTGGGAAATATGACAGACCTACGCACAGAATGTTTACTACTTCGTTCTTTTTATATTTTCTGGAACCTTCTGTCGTATTATGAGTCGTATTATAAGATAGCGCCATGAATTGCTATTGTTGTCTTGAAAATACACCTGTCGTTCAGGAGTTATGAAAATTTGAAAAAAGAATTTTGAGTTTTTTGACTTCTTGTTTTAATATGGGAAAAAAACTTTGATTAAAGGTTAAAAAAGTAGATTGCAGTTTCTTTTTAAATACTTATTGTATTTCCTTATTAGAGATTTTCGAGTTAGCAACGGACACTTGTGAAAGGGAGACAAGAGAAGCAAAATTCAAAATTTAAAGGAATGGCTACTCCTGCATTACTTTTTAGTTGTAAATTCTCAAAAGCGTTTAACCAAATAATGTTTTTTATATGTTGGCCGAGTATGTGACAATTCTTAATGCATTTTGAATTATTTGAAGAATAATAATACATTTTTCTATTGTCACATTTATTATACAGGTTTATTCAAATAAGGCGCGGTAACTCAGTGACATGTAGTTAAGGGCTGTTTATTGAGTAAAGAAAAAATAATTTAAAAATCCATGGGCCTTCAAAGTTGTAATTTTTCTTTTGTAAGTATATTTGACTATATTTTAATTCAGGATCTTTACTACTTATTATTAGTGTTGGGTACATGAATTTGATCCGACTTTCATTATTCAAAATAATTTCAGAAGTATGAATGTCCTTATCCATAGGTTTGTTTCTTCATTTTATGAGATTACAAACAACTAAAAGATATTCAAAATGAATCTAACGACAGTGGTTAATATTTTACTTTTTTTAATCTACCTACCTAAATCGATATTTTTTTTTGTTAGTCAACGTTAAAGTGATGTAAGGAATTTTTTAATGATTTTTCTCGAACTTAGAATTATGAACTTACAAATGTATCGTTGAGTTAGTGCGCCTTTTTTAATCAGCTGTATAAGATTTCTATATTTTATTCAAAACGAAGTGGAGGAAACAAATAAAAATTAAAAAGTGGAAAGAATCTTTTTCTAAGAACATAATAACTTGATAATTCACTTCTTAACAGAACCCTTTAAAAAACTCCACAAAAGGAACCTGACCAACCAGGACCCTCGAGCATGAATCCACGGGCTTCGATCGGAGACTGCGGACAATTAAACAGCATCAGGAGACAGCCTGGCTCCTGAACTAGGAGACTCCCCCTAGTGAAAGCTAGAGGGCAGACTCCGACGGGGAGTAATCCACATATAGTGTGAGGATGAGAGAACCCGAGACTGGCTAGGGCTCGTCAGCAGAGACCTGTCGTTAGAGGATGTCACTCTGCGATACGCACTGAAAGTACAGCCCTCAAAGCTAAGGAAAGCTTTGGTTCTTGTCCAGGGACTACCGGTAATTCTGAGGCTTTTCGAAGCTCAGAATCCTGGAATAGGAGCCTCAACGTAAGCTATCTTTGGGACAGAGCCAATCGGGCTAGCCGACTCGTTGCATCAGCCCAGAGGGTAAGAAATCTCAAGGTTTTTAACGGCGATTATAAGATTGCTGGGCAGAAATGGAGATAGAAATACAGCAAGCGATGGTCAAGGCCTGTAACCCTATTTACACCATATGTTGGAGCTTTGGTATAATTTGACAGAAAGGCGGACATTTAAGGTGGAGATATTGGACTTCAGAAACTCTGATTAGTTGTGGGCGGCTTATGTTTACTAGAGTGAGGGAGGATGTCATTAACATCACTGTAAGCTCAATAGAGTTGGCTCTTCAAATCAAAGACTGGCATTTATCCAAAGAACTGAGTATCGAGCGAATGACACATCCGTTTTCGCATTTTTTAAAGGAGAATTGTCATAACACGTATGCTCGACATTATCGACGATGCTCTCATTTCACTATGTTGACACACACCGCAAAGTGTTGGAATGGGTACCGACTTATTTCATTCTTTAACCATTGAAAACTCTAAAAAAAAAAAGGCTTACAAAGAGAATCTAGAATTTGTTGCAAAGAAAAAACGAAAAATTGAAAGGACTGCTGAAGAAGTAATCACTTAGTCCACATTAATATTCATCTACTAGTTAGTGTTCCTTTTGTATGCTCTAAGAGAAAATACAACTTATATAGTGGCCACATGAGATATTCTTGTATCTAGACTAGACTAGAACCTATGATTAGACCGCACACTTGGTAACTAAGAGATATAAGGTTTGTTTTCATCGCTAAGATGGACTTCTTTTGTTTGCGAGGGAGCTTACCTACAGAGTTACGCACGCGGAGGCTTCATGACCCATTTTGTGCCATCCTCTGTAGACAAGGACACAAACACTCAGTGTGAGGAGGGGAGCTCTACAGTCATACATGCTAAGACCTCTTGACTCCATTGTGCTGCACTCCACGGACAGAGTCACAAATATTCAGGACGGACATACACACCCAGAAGCCAGATCCTTTATCTTGACTAGGAATCGAACCAATGACTACAGTCTATCGGTTTTGCCTCGAATCAGCTACTCAACATGCGGCCCCTAAAATCGGGACAGACTGTATATGGAAAGACTGGTTGATAGATAAGAGAAGTAAACGATGTAATTTGTGAGTTAAATGAAAGTGATAGATGTCTGGCAAATTTTTGTTAAAAGCAAATTTTTCGTTGTGGTCAAAGAATTCACTCACTGGTCACTGAGTTTCGTGAGAAATATTATCGACTAAGTAGTGTCTTATGCATTAACCCAGATGCAACATGATATATATTCTTTAACGTGAGGTGTAAGAACCACTACATAGGCCTTATAATATATTCTTTCGACAAGTACTGTGAACTTACAATAGGTTAAAAATCATTTTGGGCGACATCTATTAGAGTTAAGCGATGACAGCATTAAACACCACCTACAGATTAATTAATTTCAATTCATTTTTTTACGACGGAACATGACAAGATTTCCACGCGCAGAGGGGAGGGAATATACCAGGGTTATGACTCAGAGTGGTTAGATAATCTGTTTGTAAAAGGTATAGATTTTGCATATGTTCAGCAAAGTAGATTTCACTGTCTCGGTATTAGGGAGTAAATATATCAGTGTTTTCAGGCAGAAATTTTTGAAAGATTGAATGTGTACAAGGACGACTTCCATCAAAAGCCGAATTTCTACATATTCCTAGACAGTTAAGGTCTTCGTTTCGCTAGTGTACATCAAATTTAGTCTGGAAATGTCACGATTAAACGTATGATTTAGCTAAACGCAACAAAAAAGTTGTGCTTTGCTAGAAAACTGCATACGTGGACTACAAAGGAAACAAAAAGGTCAACGGTTTGACTAGGTAGTAGTCTGAGACGAGTGTATCGATTCTTAAAAATGCTTATACTAAGATATTCGAGTGTACACTATATGATTTTCAATAAATAGAGGACTTTAAACGACCGCCAATTCAGGTTGTCCATAGAAGACCTGATGAAAAATGTAGTGAAGGGCTACTGAGAGCTTACAGTAGTTATTTTAGAATCGTAGGACACAGTCGTTTTAACAAACGTAGATGTATGATCTAATTTTCCAAAACACGTGATGAAGTTACAAAACTACACATGGACTTTCAAATTATGGAGTCTCGTAATATTTGGGATGCGCCCATAAGTTGTATAATAATAATTTAAGCTGTCTCCGGGTGCAGCTCTGTATATTTAAAATATACCAGGTGATTCAGTATGACACACCAAATTGAATAATTTGAGACTAGACGCTTACTATGATGCAAAGAATAATAACTGTAGACTTTTTCAAGAAAAGGCCACCCAATTTTTTTTTTTTCGAATAGAATAGGTAGAGTATTTTCTCCTCTTTAAAAAAATGTGATATAAAAAAAAATTGAAATGACTATTGAATACTTTTACTTAATGTTAATGTTAAAATGTGCAAAAGATTTCCATCACAGTTTGAACATAATTGCACCGGATTTGTAGCCTTTTTAATACATCTTTTTTTAGATTCTTTCATTCAGTGAATTATAAACGAAGTGCAATTATATTTAACACTTAATGGAAATCCTTTTGAAAATTGGTTTGATTAAAATTTATAGTCTCATATTTAATACATTTTTGACGCCAGAATAAATTCTATAATGATTTTTTCTTTTTCTTTAATTATGCGCGAAAATGTCAAGTCAAATTACAGTGTTACCAAGAAAAAAGTGGATTGAATTAAAAAATACATGGTTTTAGTTTTAAAAAAGTTGATAATCTTTTCCGGAAAATCAGAAACTGTTTCTATAAGCATAGATTTTTAAATGATTTCAGTCATATGTTTTATTTGCTGAGTAACTGTGAAGATAAATGAGTGCTAGTACCACTGAATCACCCGATATTTAAGGGAAGCAAAAATTAAATGCGAAAATTCTATAAAAAATCATGGAAATGTACTATAGAGAGTTTTAATAAAGTGTTAAAAGTTAGTTTTATGCGTTTTTATTTTTTACCGGTCTAAAATTTTTTAATTAAGGTTTTTTAATTTATGGTACTCAGATGTATATACTTAAATACGAGAGTAACCTTACAACTTAAAAAAAAACTGTGCACCTTTCGCCAAAACTTATGCTTTGATAATGAATTTGACACCATCTTCTTCACTTACCGCTTGATTTTTAGGTTATTATGGCTTTAGCCAACCACTTGCAGCTCATAGAAGCAGAAAAACAGAAACTTAGAACACAAGTGAGACGCCTTTGTCAAGAGAATGCCTGGTTGAGAGATGAATTAGCGTCCACTCAACAACGACTTCAAGCTAGTGAACAAACAGTCGCTCAGTTAGAAGAAGAAAAACGACATTTGGAGTTTATGAGTTCAGTGAGCAAATATGACCAAGATGTGAACGATGACAACGCCAGTGAGCACCCAAGAAGTGAAAAACCAGATCCCGTCGTAGACCTATTCCCAGACGATGATAACGAAGATAGAAATAGTATGTTACTGTCAGTAATTATTATTTTTTTTTAGTTGCGTTTTTTTAATTTATCATTAAATTCAAACTAAGAAAATAATTTCACCCGATGACGCGACGTACTTGTCAAATTAAAATTTTATAACCCGGTTTTCTTTTTTTTACTAACGAATTTGAATTACTGTGTTAAAAAGCAATTGTTTATTTTTGTAAATTACTGTATATCTTTCTTATTTTAAGATATGTCTCCCACACCCCCCAATCAGCTGCAGCTCTCCCAGCAAGTAAATGCAGGATACGAAATTCCAGCTAGACTTCGTACTTTACATAATCTAGTGATTCAGTACGCTTCCCAAGGACGGTATGAAGTAGCTGTACCTTTATGCAAACAGGCTTTAGAAGATTTAGAGAAGACAAGTGGCCACGATCACCCTGACGTTGCCACAATGTTGAATATTCTTGCATTGGTATATCGAGACCAGAATAAATACAAAGAAGCTGCGAATTTATTAAATGACGCTTTGGCCATTCGCGAGAAAACATTAGGAGAAAATCACCCTGCTGTGGCCGCTACTTTGAACAACCTAGCAGTGTTGTATGGTAAAAGGGGCAAGTATAAAGAAGCAGAGCCTTTGTGTAAAAGAGCCTTGGATATCAGAGAGAAGGTTCTTGGTAGGGATCATCCAGATGTGGCCAAGCAGCTGAATAATCTCGCTTTGCTCTGTCAGAATCAGGTAGGTGTATTTTGAACTTATTTTAGATTGATAATTTGGCGAATGTGTGCATGTTTAGGGCAAATACGAAGAAGTCGAGAAATACTATCAGAGGGCGCTAGAAATTTACGAGAAACGACTTGGGCCAGATGATCCAAATGTTAGCAAAACGATGAACAACTTGGCTTCTTGTTATTTGAAACAAGGCAAATACAAGGAAGCGGAAGTTTTGTATAAACAGATTTTGAATAGGGCACACGAACGCGAGTTTGGGACAATTGATGGTGAGCACAAATGATCTTTTGATTGACGTTTGTACGGGAGTGGGGCTTAGTCATATCTTTACGGGATTTAATACGCACAGTATTGTTGCATTCCATTCGAATTTTGTTCAGATCTGTACAGTATCTCATTTAACAAGGATGATTTTATCGGGCAAAACGTCCTTGAATTATATTACACGGACTATGGCATATACATACATGTATCGAGTATTTTTTCATCAATATAATTATTTTGCCTAATATTGTGTTTCATTTGTTCCTTTTGAACCCCGTGTTTATTGTCGTCAGGTGATAACAAACCGATTTGGCAAGTGGCGGAGGAGCGCGAAGAAAACAAAGCTAAGAATAGAGAGAACGCTCCATACGGCGAGTACGGAGGATGGCATAAAGCGGCTAAAGTTGACTCTCCAACTGTAACAACGACCCTGAAGAATTTGGGAGCTCTCTATCGCCGACAAGGGAAATACGAAGCTGCAGAAACCTTGGAGGATTGCGCATTGCGCAGCAGGAAAGAGGTGCGATACTTTTAATTTTTTTAATAATTTTCACCATAACAAAATTCATCCTTTTTTTGTTTTGTGCTGCAGCATGTGCAACAAGTAAGTCTTCATTTAGCTTTTGCTAGCTTTTTCTTTTGGTCGACTTACTAATATACTTCATACTGAATAGGAAATGTTTTAGCAGGCTTTGGACATCGTCAAGCACTCGAAAATGGCGAACATCTTGGGTGACATGGAGAGGCGCAAGACTGGCAGTGTGAAAGACAAGACTTCACGTCGCGGTTCCCGGGAATCTCTTGACATGTCGTACGACGGAGACGAGGTACGTTCAACACAAAAACTTAGATTTAGATTTTATCATCAAATATTCGCTTAAACGTTTGCTTTATTCGCTTAAGGTAAGTCGTGTATATCGCTTGAGATTTGGGCCTAATTTTTTATTATAGTGTATTTTGGTTTCTGTATGTGTTTAGTATGCGGTTTTCACCGTTAAGCATTTATCAACTCCATCTGTTGTTTATTTTCGGGGAGGGGGGTTGGATAGGCGGGGTCTATCGAGAGCTTGTAACAGGTTTTCTTTATTTTTTAATTCGCAAATTGAATGACATCTTTTTCGGGATTACGGCAACGTATTATGAGACGCGTCGTGTAGAAAGTAGCTTAGCTATTGTTTTTGTCATAGCTCTGACATGTTATTATTTTTGGCAGCCGAACACTGCAAGGACTCCAGACATGGAAAAAGGCGGATTGAAAACGAAACTATTTAACGCCTTGGGTATAAATTCGCCTGTCAACAAGCCGCCTAGCTCTTAAATAATTCAGTTACATTTTAAGCTTTGTCTATCATATTAAAAAACTTAAAAAAAAAAAACAAAAAACATTCCACCATTTGCTAGAACATCACCTGTTGTCTCTAATCGAATATGCCGGTTTATCGCTATTGCATGAAATATAATAATATAGGCATATCAAGCTTAAAATGTAAACTTAATTGTAGATAACTAAAAAAGTATTTAATTTTATTGATAGTATTATTATCATCTTTTTGTTACATTATCATAATTTTTTAAATTATTTTCTAAAAGAAAGTGATAAAAAGTGGGTGGTCTTAATCATGTTCACAAAAAGCTTCCTCAGGTATCAATGCACCCTGGGTTTTGATTCATATATTTTTAAGTGCTTTCATAGACATCGCATCTTGTTGCCTAGCATACATACGTAAGCATTAACGCTTTATTTGGACGGAGGCCTTTTTTTCTCCTCTCGATTTAATTTAATCAAGGCGACGATGCCATTTGGATCTTCCATACATTTGTCAATTATTACGTTTATAGGTGAATCTCCTTTATGTTAACTAAAAATTACTTAATTTGGTATCTTGTATAATTTTTCCAATAGTTTATTGTATAAAATGAACTAAACTGTGTTATTTAAATTTTAGTGTTGTTAACATTGTTTATAATAAATTCATGTTTATCAATTGAAAATTTTCTTTATTTAATTACCCTGCCAGCTAGCTAATGCATGTTAATTTCTAATTTGTGTTTTATTCCTATTAATTTTCCAGAGGAGTTGATAAAGCTGTTAACTTGCACTAATCATGGTGTTGCTATCGTTGCTGTTGTAAACTTGCTTTTTATGTTTCGTTACTCTGATGTATCTCTTTCTTGCTTAAAATTTCCGTACTATGGGCATTTTAAGCAAATATACAAAACTTACAGTTGATGTAAACGTATCTTTAGGTAAAAAGTTGTATATGAAACAAAACGAAGTGCAAAGTAATAGAAGGTGGGTGAATTAATTAATCGCACTTGTGCGGTAATTGTAGGATGTAGACGTAGAACACCTAAGTCAGTATGCATGTACTGATAGTTAAACATCCCATTATTTAATTTTTGGTTTGTAACTTGTGAAATCGTATAAACATTCTTTTTCTAAAATGATCTCTGTTAAAAACAAGTAACTCATTCATAGTAGTTTGCGTTAGACTTAATTAGGGATGCAATGAACTGGTTAGTGACATCTTCTATTCTAAATTGTATTTAGGAAATGTGTTAGTCACTTGTTTCATCTGGAACCTTTGGAGTTCATAAAATAAATATAACTACTACAGTATATCAATTATTTTGGCAGTGATACGTCCTGAATATATTATCAGGTATATACAGTTGTCAGGATTTTGTCAGGCAGTAGCTTTGAAGAATAATGAAAAAGAAATATTGCGAGTAAAAACTTTAGTTAGGATGAGTGGATTTTTTCATCTATATGTTATCAGATCTTACTTTCGCTATTTGTCAAATGTTTTGTGGTGTTGAAAAAATGGAATTATATTAGGATTGAAGTAAATATTTTGAACATTACATTTTCTTTAACCGTTCCCGTTTTTTTTTTATAATTTGGATAGGTGGAATTCAAGTTTTTTTTTTAATTTATCGTAATTAAGAAAAGTTTTAAACCTACAATTTCTTTTGTTATATAATGTAAAATGTAAGTTTTGTATGTAGCAGCCCAGAAAACGGAGAATCACATTCTCTCATCTTTTCTTTTTATTAAATTATTAATTTGCACATTCGAGCTATATATTGCAATAAATGTGAGTTTAGTTTCGGCGAAAACCATCACAACCTCTAGGGCTGGTGAAATCACTAAGCAGATCAATCACGTCCTTAAGTAAATTACTTGGTGAGCCAATGCTGTCATCTAACGTAAGTAGTTCCTACACTAAATCTGCAGACTACCATGTTTTCAAAGTAAATAGAGTTCTCAAGTTTTGTTTTCTTTCAGAATGAATCCAAACGGAATAAACCAGTGTGAGGACAGCTTTCTAACATGTAACGCCTTTTTTGTTGACACTTTTGCTTCAGAATAACAATAGCCTGCATGAATATTCATAGAGCAAAGGTGTTAATAAACTAACATTTCACACCATAAAGTAACTTGTGCATGTGCAATAACAAGACATTCCTTAATAATCAAAGTATGGAAAATTAATTATTATTTCACTAGTTATAGAATATAATCAGGTGATTTGCTATGCTATTTTTACTGTGCTTTAGCTAAGTTGATTACACATTATGTAATATGGAAGTACTCCAAATAAAGGAAATAAATGTTACTGTTTACTTTTATTACTTTACCATGGAAGAGATACACAAGTTTTAATACAAGTAGTATATTCTCCTATTTACTACTACAAAGGTGTTGTTGACAATACAGACAATGTATAGATACATCCTGCACAACCTAATAAAAGTGTTACCACCGAGACTAAAGGATAATCATCCAAGTCTCCCACTGGTACAAGTAATTCGACTTCATCAAATAACGCTTGGTAACTTACGTTATTCCAAACACATTGGTTTTTATTTGCAATATCACAAGGGGCTGCAACTTCAGTCTTGCTACACTTTTGTGGACATTTAGCCAAAATACTAGGTTTATTTAACAATACTTTCCCAAAACCTCCTGATATTTGTGCTCTTTGGTATCTTAAATGAAAGGGTACATTGAATGACACCTTTTCTTCAATTTGAGAAACAAACACGTATACAGAATACTTCTCGGCTAAATGCGCAGGTACCTCAACATCTACATCACCATCAATGAATATAGATAAATCCCCAAGTCTATTTAAATCCGCGATTTGGTCAGGGTTGATGAAAATTTCTGGACTCAAGTCTAGTTTTATAATGAGCTTGCATGGAAATGTGGTCTTATTCCGCTCCAAAAGCCAGTTAATTTCTCGGTGAAAACCTTCACCATCAATTTTTTGAGTGAGCGAGACGTTGAGATTTTTACATATTGAGGCCCAGCTGTACTGGACAGTAACACAGAACCAAATTAATGTGGTAACTGTCTGTATTTGCTACAAATAATAAACATAAATATTCAACACTTAACCAGTTTCAAACATTACCATTTCAAAGAACCTTGACTTCAATATGAACTACTTCCATATGATTACAAACCACTTTCATTTTTATTTTTGGCACTTAATTTCAATAATCGTGTTCCTTTTGTCTTTTCTACATTTTGTGTTGACATTTGTGACATATACAGTTTTGTGACACATGCATCATCTGTCATCACATGATAGTATTGACGTAAGAGGGCGCACCTTTTAAAGAAATTTTGGTAAATTATTCACCCTTTTGTAATTTGTTGCTTATAAACAACCGTTTTGCGCAGTTAATTGTTAATATAGTTATTATTTAAAGTTTGTAATGCAGTGATAAACTTTTGACACGTGACAACTATCAGGCCGATAAACTAGATATCTGCAACGTGACAGCTGACAGTTTAGAACTGACGTGTGCACCTTTATTAGAATTTTTTAAATCATGTTGGACTTATTTACCATTTTTAGTAAGGGAGGTATCGTTTTGTGGTGCTTTCAAAGCACGAATCAGGCATTTACCTCGTCAGTGAACGCTTTAATACGTAATGTTATCCTTCAGGTAAGTCAAATCTCTTCTTTTCCAGCATATGGAGTCAATTTTGCTTTGCAGGAAAGGTCTGGTGTTCATAGCTTTGACCACGAAGGCCTCACCCTGCAGTATAAGTTAGATAATGAATTTGATTTGGTGTTTGTGGTAGCGTATCAGAAAATTTTACAACTTTCGTATGTAGATAAATTTTTGAGTGATATACATCTGGAATTTCGGGACAAATACAAAAATGACTTGGCAAACTCTAGTTATTTTCAAGAATTTGAGTTTGTGGACAACTTTAATGCAACTTTACAAGCTGCAGAGCAGTGGGCCAAAGCTCAGGCTAAAGCTCCTAAAAATATGCGTACTTTTGAACAATCGAATAAATCTAAGAAAACTGTCGCTTCAATGATTGAAAGGAAGGGTGAAGAGAAAAAGCAACCTAAGAAAAAAGAGGTCGTTTTCAGTGAGGAAACTAACGCAAAGGCTCCACCATCACCGCAGGCTAATCATGTGGTAGAGGAAGATATAATGAAAGTTAACAGAGCAAAGTTTGCAGAAAAAATGAATAAAAAGAAGGGTGAACCTAAGTATAATGATGTACTTAATGTTGTGTGTGGTGTAAGTAAATTCTTTTTAGGAAAAGCCCAAAAACTGTTAATGAAAAAGCTGGTAAAAAACCCAGAATATGGGATTTAGGAGGCACCAATAAAGATTTAGAGACTTTGGAACGTACTGTTGACAAACCTGAGGATATCAAGAGTCACTACACTCCAGATACAGAAGTAAGGTGTATATATAAAGGTTGGATTATTAAACATTCTTATTAGATTGTAGGACAAATGAAAGGTGTAATTAAGGATTTAGAAGTGGAATCTTCCTCTGAAGATGAATATGATGAGGAGGAGGATGATTCCCCGGTGAAGCAATCAAATCAAAAAGCTTCGTCAAAAGGCGGCATGTTCTCCATATTTAAAGGTTTAGTTGGTTCCAAGAATCTTACTAGTGCCGACATGCAGCCAACTTTAGACAAAATGAAAGATCACCTCATCTCAAAGAATGTGGCTGCTGATATTGCCATAAAGTTGTGTGATTCAGTTGCAAAAAAACTCGAGGGCAAAGTCCTGGGTACATTTGAAACTATTGCTTCAACTGTCAAAACAACTTTGATGGATTCTCTGGTACAAATTCTTAGCCCAAAACGACGTGTTGATATTTTGAGAGATTGTATGGAGGCTCAAAAGGCAGGACGTCCATATGTTATGACATTTTGCGGGGTAAATGGTGTTGGAAAATCCACAAATTTGGCTAAAATTTGTTTTTGGTTAATAGAAAACAATATGAGAGTATTGATCGCAGCATGTGATACTTTCCGCGCTGGAGCTGTAGAACAGTTGAGGACTCACACAAGACACTTGAATGCGTTACATCCTGCTGAGCGTCATGAAGGGAATCAGATGGTTCAGTTGTATGAAAAGGGGTATGGAAAAGATGCTGCAGGAATAGCTATGGAAGCAATTAAATATGCCACTGATTTGAGATTTGATATTGTTTTGATTGACACAGCTGGAAGAATGCAAGATAATGAACCATTGATGAGAGCACTTACAAAATTAATCAAGGTAAATGAACCAGATCTAGTACTTTTTGTGGGGGAGGCATTAGTAGGAAATGAAGCAGTTGATCAACTTGTCAAGTTTAACCAAGCTTTGGCTGACTATTCCTCCAGCAGTACGCCCCATCTCATAGACGGTATTGTGTTAACTAAGTTTGACACAATAGATGATAAGGTAAGAACATTGAGAAGTTTTTTTGTTAGCCCTTAATAAGATTTGTAGACTGTGTGGTACAGCGCATTAAAAAGTATGATTTTAGTTGAAAAAACTTAATAAATTGTAAATTCTTTAATATCAATTCTATTTGTGACTTGTTGAAGTTGAAAGTCTGACTTATGGGATTTTAAAAACTACGAAAGTAAAATGTAAAAAACTTTATTTTTAGGTAGGGGCTGCGATCTCCATGACTTACATAACAGGCCAACCGATAGTTTTTGTGGGTACGGGCCAGACATACACGGACCTTAAAGCGTTGAATGCGAAAGCTGTTGTGCATTCACTTATGAAATAACGCCTCTTCTTATCATGAAATTGTAAATAATTTACCTGAAACTGTATATTTATTTAATATGGAGATTTCTGAGATTTCCTAATTGTAAGGTGCAAGTTAATAAACTTTCATTTGTTTGGTTTAAGTATAATTTATAACAATAGAAAGAATTGTACTCAACTATTGGCTCCGTTTAAGCGCCTTCCTGATAGTGGTCCAGTCTTCCATTATATCCTGAGGTTTAAGCATATAAACAATGTAAGGTCCTGATACTGTGACTGCTTTGCGACGCGATCTAGACCTAGACCGCGATCCCCACTCTCCCCCTTCGCCCCACGTTATTTCACTGTTATGTCTGTCTTCTTCTAATTTTCGAATAGTGTCCATTAATTCACTGTAATAATAATCTCGAGCAAGTTTTTTCTCGCTCTCTAAATTTTGTGCAGCCGCCTGTTCCTCTGCTTCGAACTGGTTATTGATGTTATTGAGACGCAATTGGCGCAAAATTCCTGCAACTTCTGTTCGTATCCTCATGTTCTCTTGGAGTTCTTGAAGAGGGCCTAAATAATCTGGTGAACGTCCGGCTTTAACTTCGGCCAGTTGATGTTCAACCTGTTAAATTTTAGTCAGGAAAAATAGTAACAACGATGTAACATCACCTGAGCCATGCGTTCCTTATATAGTTGTTCTCGGAGATGGCTGAACTGACTCTCTAGGTCTTGTACGTGTTGTAATAGTTCATTTCGTCTATTTTCACATTCTCCTTCGTCCATATCTGAGCTTTCATCCGAATCTGCCTCATCTTCGCTGGAGTCGCGGCCCACATCATTTTCGCGGCTTGTGTTCGAATGATCTGATTCTGCTCCTGATACGTTTCCGTCGCTAACATCGCCTCCACCGCCGTTGTTTTGCAGTTTCATCGGCGGCATTTTTGCCTTTTGAAGTGTTTTTTCTCTTTGGTATACAGTGGAGATGTTATTTTTACAGTCAACGTATTCTAGACAAACAACTGTAAAAGTTAGGTTAGGATATGAATGAGCATCGAAATTGGATTGGTTGACACAGGGCTGGCTTAAGGTATACTTGGGACCGTAAAACAACAGATAAATTTATAAATTACGATACAAATACAAAAAAAATGTATCGAAAAAAGTGCTTGCGAAAGCTTTAAAACACCAACAAATTTCAGTTGTTTGGCGAATGTATATAAAGCTGTAATGTTGGTTGCATAAGTGTTTCCAGCAAGGTATTTTTATTATTTTATAATTGCATTTTAATTCACAAATAAATTTTAAATATTCAATATAGTACACTATTACACGTATTTCATAAGGCGATTATTGTGGCACGAATGAGTTTTGACCACGAAGAGCGCAACAGCGATTTTCGATTAGGAATTTTTGACAGTCGGTTGGTGACAAAATCAACATTTTCGTGATCATTTAAATCTCTGCATCATTGATCTAATAAAGGAGTAGATGGAGCCTTGTATATGTTTCCATACGCGAGCGAGTGTAATCAACATAAGAAAGAAATAGCTAGAGCGGTTATGCATCAGTGGGGAAAGGACGGCTGACCACGTATCACGTGCTGGGTGGCAAGAAACGCTTTATTTGAACGGGAATTAATACGTTTTCTTACGAATTTGTTCAAACAATCAATTATAACAAACCTCTGTTAATGAAAACTATATTTTTACAGTTTACATTAAAATTATGTGTAATGTGAAACAACAAAAATCATGTTAAGTGGTGGAGATGGTCTTTTAATAAAATGAAATGTATAGAGAATCTACAGTACATTACGAATTCAGTTAGTACAATAATCTTCTACAAGTTTACTAATCTTGTAGTGTATGTTCATTGGTAATTCTGAAATTTTTAGGATAAAAGTAATTAAACTTTCGATAAAAGTGACAGGGTGCCTAATTAAATTAAACATATTAAATTGTGTGGAATTTTCTACTAAAATCTATTTTCTAAATCCACATACAAATAACTAAAACAATAATCAATACATATAAAATTCCCTCTTTTTGTAGCAATAATCTGTTTTTTTCGTTACTCGGAATGTTTAGGGAATCTAACAAATTTTTTAAATTATTTATGAAATCCTTCGTCTGTGTATGTGAGTATTACCTATTAAATGAAACGGGATTGCTTTCTTTGCACGTTCTATTCAATTATACGCACAACACGATTTCACGATGTTTAACAAATAGTCCAATAAAATACAACTTAAGAACACTGTAGACATTTAAATAAGGTAACTTGAGCATAAAAAACGTAAATTTGCAAAAATACACCTTCCAACACCATGCGACAGCACGAAAGAAACCTCCAGAAACACAGTGCTCTGCAGCTCGCGTCAATGTTTTGCCACCCAGAGAGCCCTATCTCTGTCCCACTATGTTGACAACGCGCGTCTCTCTCTAAGTTACGTCCATATAATATTATTTCTATGCTCTGCATTTACACAAAAGACAGCAAATAGATGGAAATACTCAATTTGGGTAGTTATTATTAACAATGTTCACTGACATTTGGTTTAACTTTTGACCATCTTTCAACTGCCGGCACAATAATATCGCCAATATAATCAAGGAAAAAGTTAGTGTTTTGCGTGCTATAATAAAAATAATTGTCAATATTGTGAAAGGCATATACTTATACTGATTTGTTTGGAAAAGTAGAACACCTGCGTGTTTATGGAAGTCTGTAGGAACTGATTCACAGAAATTTCCAATAATTAATAGAAAGAAAATTTTGGATATTACAGATTACATTGTTTCAGGGCACCGCCCAATGTTTAGAGTGCATAAGTAGTTTTCTCATACTTTTACTTCCCGAGCGTAAGCAAAGGAAGTATTGTAATCGAGTCCATCGGCCGACTTTCTACTTTTACGTTTTCTCGATCTCTCATGACCCCTAGAAGACGAAGAAATAGGTCTGCAATTTCCGTCTGTCTGTCCGTCTGTCCGTCTGTCTGCCGTCCCGGATTTTTATGAGACAGATAATCTCCGAAAGTACTGGACCGATTGTGAAATTTTGTACTTATATTAGGAATATCATGTAGATGGTAAAACGCTAACCAAAATTTGTCTAGTCATCCCCACCACTAATGCGATGACGTCACTTCAAAATTGTACATAGTAAATGGGTTTTAAATTGTATAAAATAACATAGTCCTACACATGTAGTTTACAACTCCGAATTGAGTTTTCACCCGAAACGTCCAGATTTTTGGATAAAAAATCAAAATTGTAAAAAAACATTTTGAAATTTAATTTTGAATCTGCTAACCCGAATCCCCTCCAAAAACTTGATGACGTCAGCTCAAAAGTTTGCCGAATAAATCATATCTAAAATGTACAAAATATGATGAGTCTGTACTTGTGATTTATCACTCCATTGATATTTTTTGGATTTGCATATACAGGGTGAATCAAAAAAATTAATGAATGCGTAAATTTATTTTACTGATTTACTCAGGAACCACAAAACCGAATGCTTTGAAATCTTGCAGATGTTTTAAGGTTATAAGGAGCATAATAAATGTTTAGTCAAAATATATTTGCTTATCCCTTCCAAAAAATTGATGACGTCAGCTCGAAAGTTTGCCGAATAAATCCTATCTAAACTGTGCAAAATATGATGAGTCTGTACTTGTGATTTATCACTCCATTCATATTTTTTGGATTTGCATATACAGGGTGAATAAAAAAAATTAATGAATGCGTAAATTTATTTTATTCATTTAATCAGGAACTACAAAACCGAATGCTTTGAAATCTTGCAGGTGTTTTAAGGTTATAAAGAGCATAATAAATGTTTAGTCAAAATATATTTGCTTATCCCCTCCAAAAACTTGATGACGTCAGCTCAAAAGTTTGCCGAATTAATTATGTCTAAAATGTACAAAATATGATGAGTCTGTACTTGTGATTTATCACTCCGTTCATATTTTTTGGATTTGCATATACAGGGTGACTCAAAAAATTAATGAATGCATGAATTTATTTTATTGAGTTAATTAGGAACTACAAAACCGAATGTTTTGAAATCTTGCAGATGTTTTAAGGTTATAAAGAGCATAATAAATGTTTAGTCAAAATACATTTGCTTATCCCCTCCAAAAAATTTATGACGTCAGTTCGCAAGTTTGCTGAATAAATCCTATCTAAACTGTACAAAATATGATGAGTCTGTACTTGTGATTTATCACTCCATTCATATTTTTTGGATTTGCATATGCAGGGTGACTAAAAAAAATTAATGAATGCGTAAATTTATTTTTTTGGTTTACTCAGGAACTACAAAACCGAATTCTTTGAAATACACTGCGAAAAAAAAAATAATAGGCATGCAGTCGTCACGTTTCCGACAGCGAGGGAAGTACTGTCTAAACTCTTTAGACCAATCTTTTACTAATGAAATGAAACTAAATTGCTTATTCAAGCGTTTTTTCTTTACTATTTTAATTCAATTAAACCAGGCTTGGACTGTTTGAATTTTTTATTACTCGCTACACAATTCTCTAACCTTCCAGAATATGAAACTTTTTGATTTACACGTATTTTTTTAAACGAATAATTTCATTTAAACTAAAGTCGTACTTTATTACTAAAAATCAACGAAAACACAATAAAAAGTACTTACAAAATAGATTCATTATTTAATTAAGAGCTACACATTTTACATGCTACAGGATTTTATAGAGAGTACGCGAGAGCGGCTTCTTTGTGTGGAGTAAGTTTTCGATCATCTTCCTTTCGTTTAACACCATTAGTAACACTATTTTCTTGCCGGGTAACCAATTTGCTTTTATCCACAGTGAGCTGAATGGGGTTGGCTGTTGGTTTTGTTCTCAAGTAGTACATTCCAGTTTTCAAATCCTTCTTCCATCTAGAAAAGTGCATGGACGTTATTTTCTGATAATCCGGTGACGCTATATGAATATTCATAGACTGCCTCTGATCAATAAATGCACCTCTGTCTGCACCCATACCAATAGTAACTTTCTAGAAAATTTCTCAAACGGTTTTATAAATCGTCTTCAGATTGTCGGGAATTTCAAGAATGTTTTGAACTGAACCGTAGCCCGTAATGATTTGATTTTTCATGTCGTCGTTCCAAAGGCCTCTTTTGGTTAAGTCTTTGAGTAGGTGTTGATTAACGACTGGTAGTTCGCCAGATAGAATACATTTAACATACATGTTCGAAGTGTAAATTAGGTAGATTTGTTGTTACCCAAGATTTGGGCAGTAGAAGTTGTAGGCATTGGAGCTAAAAGTAATGAATTGCGAATGTTGGCTAATTTTTGCTTTAAGGAAGACCAATCCCAAAAATTTGATACTGTAAGATGCCTTTGCTGACTGGTGATTATTTATGTTATACGTTGTATATGGACTGTCTTTTCCTGTAATTTCTGAACTCGCCTCCAGCGCTTCATTTTTTTTTTGTTAAGTAGTCGACCTTCATTGCTATCAAAAGGTAACCGTAAAAGTATAAAAGCGTGTGCTAAACCCTGAACACCGATTCCTATTGGTCTATGACGCATATTCGAATCTCTAGCTTCTGGTAGTGGACAGTAATTAACCTCGATGATCTTGTTGAGATTTTTAGTAAGAACTGTTGTACAAAGACGCTTGAAACAGAAAGAACAACCAAAAACCTTGGAACAATCAGAAGCAGAACTTGGCGTCTATTGCAATAAATATGTTTGTTAATCCAGAGAGAGATGGACATGATTTTGAGAAATTAAAAGAAGTAGTTAAATTTACTACTTTAAGTACTTATTTTGATTTCTGTGCATACGTTCCTGCTTCTGATTGTTCCAAGATTTTGTTGGTTGCTTTTTCTGTTACAAGCGTCTTTGTACAACATGTACGGTGTTCCTATTTCTACCTGTGATGCGTGAATGGCACGCCATACGTCACGTGCTGGTAACTACCTAACCGTATTTTAAAATGTTTGAGAGTTTTAAGGAAATCTTGACTCCATTAAATAACTAATAATTGATTGCTAAAGTTTATAAAAAAAAGAACCCATTTAATCAAAAACCTTCAACTTCATATTTTTCAAACAATTTTTCAAATTTCTCTCCCAAACTATCCGCAAGACCTGGCGATTGGTAAGGACACACTAAAGATCTCTTAATGAAGAGCTCAGGAGTCCACAAAACATAAAATAAATCACGGGCTCTCTCATTCTCCCATCCTGTGTTTTTCCCCAAAAACAAAAAATCGATAATGTTCGCATGCCAAGGTTGTAGATAAATAGCACAAGCTCCCGGACGCTTATTACCACCTTGGTCCACATAACGCGCAGAGTTATTAAATACTTTAAGCAATTACGCCAACTCTTTAGGTAATTTTTCATTCTTATTGTTCTTAAACTGTGTTCCTTTGGCCCTGATGTTACGCACGATGACGCCTAAACTACCAGCTATTTTGGAAATTTTAGCACACTGTATAACGCACTGGTAAATGCCATCAAGATCATCCTTTGCCATAGTTACCAAGAAACAGGAGGACAACTGTGATCTTGGAGTTCCAGCAGCGAACATTGTGGGGCTTGTATGGGTGAAGTATCTATATTTATGACATGTAATTGTAGGTTTCAATAGCGGCCTTTATGTCTTTGCAGTGAACAAGTATGAACGTTCCAAGGTTTTGAAACCGAAGTAGTTGTATGAGAAATCTCTGTCATAAATTATAATGCAAGAGTTTAGACGGTCGGCATTTTTCATAATGACGACATGAACTTGCATAGAAATCATGGGGGTTTTTGGCCGGTTTTATTGCTCACAGAGTTATAAAGATCATCAATTACATCTGTTAAAAAAAGAAACAGTTCAACAATATTAACGTTGCCTGCATTAAAAAACATTTATTGGTGTTAAAAGTGAAAAACCACTGCTGCAAAAAATTTTTGTTTTTACTTTTTTTCATAACAGGGTATGACTATGACTAGGTATAAACTGAAGGAAACTATGCTGATAATGTTTTATGATAAAAATTAAAAACTGCGTGTAGCAATTTGAGTGTAACTGTGTAATTTTGTTCTTGATTTTAGTACAATAATTGTTTAAATACATACATAGAAATAATCAGATAAAGTGATTATTTTTAGTATGCCTATCGTTAAGATGATCAAAAATTGTTTTTTTTTATGTTATTTCATTAAACACAAATATGTTATAACAAGTAAAAACAGTGTCTGCGAGTTTTCCCGCCAAATTTATTCAAAACTCGCCGCGGTGCCCCCAGAAGCTCCCGTCGGTTGCTTCAAGTTTTGTTCCGACACTACTCCATCTCCTGCGTGACAAACAGAGCTGCCTCTCCCCCAGTAGAGTTTAAAACAAAAAAGTTTCTTTATATACATTATGGAGACAATTATAGGGTCGCCTTTGTAAGTTACAGATTTTTATTAAAATCCATTGAAATAAACGAACAATGTTTATCAATTGTATAAATTTTTGTACCCTCAGAAAACGGAGAAAAGAATGCCAACCCAGCGAGAAGAATATTCTTCAGGAAAAACAAGGAGAACCGCGCAGTGCACAAATAGAGTATGCCATTCTGCGTTTAGTTTCACATTATAGGATCGATAACGAAAGTTTGATAATCGAGTTAAAACAACCTGTAAGACGTCTTTCTGCAAAAATATTTCACCGATGGAAAAAGTGTTGTAGAACTGGAACAAAATGCAGAATGGCTGAATGTTTAAGACCACCTCATTTCGACTCTAGTGTCTGATGCTTCTATATCGTCGGCTCCGTCTACATCTTCGGGGATCGGACGACCCCAGTTACCATTCGAACAAAGCAGTGAACACAGTATAAGACGGAAAATTGAAAAATTGCGAGAATCAGCCACTTCGCTTATGAATGCCGCGCAAACTAGTTTACGCAAGGAAGGTAAATATAATGCAGCAAGTATCATTCAAGAAGCTGCATTAACTACCCCTGCAAGAGCAACAAAAATAAAAAAGGCTTGGAAATCGCCGTGAAATTGTTCTCGGAGGACGAAGCACTGTCATTAACGATAGAATCGCAGCTAACCAAACATCAATATATGTTGATCAGACGAGAAGCCAAAGTACGAGGAGCGAATGTTTATCTCCCGTATAGACAAGTATTAAATGCTAAAACACGATCTTATCCTGACATTCAAGTGAGTAAGTGAGACACCCTAAAAGAAATTAATGCGCAGTTCAGTCTTACTGGAAAAGTGTGGATAATATGCAAATGGGGTTTTGATGGGAGTAGTGTGTGACCATTACACGCATGGATTAGGTGTTTTGAATGCTTGGTACATGTGACTGTAGACTTGACTTAAAGAAATGGCGAGTGTGAAGAAACTCATTGAAGCCTCAAGTAAGAAACGCATGCAGCAAGAATTTAGAGATAAACTTCAGTTGACCAGCTGCGTTCAAGAGGAAGTGGGACGTCAAATGTTGGCAATATAGTACGAACAATTTTTAATAATCACAAAATATCATTCCAAATCATAGGCATTTCTGAAGATCTAATATTCCGTTTTACTGTACTTTTCAAAACACTTGCTTGTAATACAGAGATGGATAATGAGGGCTTCCATATGTATGAATCAGCACTGCTAAGCTCTTCGTGCAAGAGTATGGCTGATATTATGTGCCCATGAATATCCACCGACTTTTAATTCATGGTGCCTCTATTACTGCTTCAGCTGCATTACTTATAGGTGAGTTTTCGGAAGAAGCACAAGAAAACAGTAATAAGGATATTAGGAAGTATAGATTGCACTATATTCGGAAATGTTCTAGTATTAAAACAGATTAAGATATGCTTAGTAGATTATTACTTTCTTCAGATTCTGGGTTGTCATCTGTATGTAAAACTCTTGAAAAGCCACGCCATCGACAGTTTCTGGAAGTTCAACAACTTTTAAAAAATCTCCGTAAATGAAACTGCAGATGATGATAATAACGACGTCCATTCAAACGAGGTCCCAAAATATGACGAAGGGGATCAGGACAGTGACGCCAATTAGCACGATGAGAGTGACTGTGACTATGACTCTGACGATGATAGTGACAATGACAATAACGATGACGATGACGACATCACGAACGATGAGGATGACGATTAACAAGGAGTTTAGTTTCTACTTATTACATTTATACCACTTTCGATTACTGTAATTCTGTTTATTTTGATACTATCTGACATTTTGTATTAAATACTGATATGTGATTTCAAATTCAAATTATTCAAATCCAAACTTTTGATTCAAACTTGGACACACAATACTAATCGATTTATTCCCTTTTAACATATAATTTATCAAGAGTATTTTTAACACAAAATAAAGTAAAGAATGTCAATGTACTTAGATTAGGTATTTATTTATTTATTTATGTGCACTCTTGGGTGGATTGTTTTCAATTCGTCTCTATAATTATAGCCTTATTTTTAATTACAGCTTAACAGTAAACGCCAAAATATCACCTTTCACTTTTACAAATTACTATTCTAAATTTGAACTTTACCGAGTAGGTCAGATTCGAGATTCTTAACACTAGTCTTTATTCTTCCAGCTTTATTAACTTACCACTTGAAACAAAATCACATTTTTTTTAATTCACGCCTTAAAATTTTTCCTGAAGCACTTTTTGGTATTCCGTCTACGAGTACAACTCCTCCGGTTAATTGCTTGTGTTTAGAGACTTTGGTAGACACATAATCTACCAGTTCTGAGGATTTAACAGTCTGACCCGACTTAGGAACAACGAAGGCTTTAGGTGCTTCCCCTAATACTGGATGTGGTATACCCACAACTCCAACATCCTCCACATCTGGATGGCCTCTTAAAATCTCTTCTAACTCCGCAGGTGCAACTTGGAATCCTTTTACTTTTATCAGTTCTTTACAACGATCAATAATGTAAAACTGATCATGTTCATCGTAGTAAGCTATGTCGCCAGTTCTGATCCAACCTTCTTCAGGAAATATGTCTTTATTTGCTTCTTCATTGTTGAAATAACCGGGCATTACTTGCGGTCCTTTTATTAATAGTTCTCCTGACTTATTAGTTTCTAGACCATTAAGAGAAGGCTCTTCGAGAGAAACAATCTTGGCTTCAGTATTAGGAACGAGTAAACCACTACCACCTGTTTTGATCCCATGCTCAAGTTTCTTTGTTTGAATGATGGTAACTGGAGAAGTTTCTGTCATGCCGTAACCTTGTATTATGCAGACTTTGTCGTTTGTTTTCTCGCGAAAGCGCTCTACGTCGGATCCTCCTAACGGGGCGGCACCTGACATCCAAAATCTGATTCCAGTGAGATCCTCTTTCTTAATATTAGGGTGGTTTACAGCCATAATTGCTAAAATTTAAATGATGTTTTAAATTGCAAATAGTGATCTTAGTTGGAATTAAATAAATAATTTACGTCGTCACAAAATCTTGCCAATATTTTAATGACAATATTTAATTCTGTAACGACATGAAACGTGATAATTTTCTTTTTTAACACAGTATGAATAAGTGTGTAGTTTGAGTGGTGTGGGATTAATATTATTATTATTACTATTACGAAAAAGCTTTAACTTGAGTCAGTTCAACTAAAAATGCATATAGTTTATTACCTACTAAGGGCACTCCGTACAATACATCAATTTTGTAATTTTTCACTAGTTTCACAAAGTTGTCTGAGGAAAATTTAGGCATTGTTATCAGTTGTGCACCTTGGATAAGGGCCTGCAACATTACGACTACTTGACCATAAATATGAAAGAACGGAAGAAACGCAGGTACAACATCTTGATCTGAAACAAAAATAATATATTTTATAAATTAAAACATATTGTTTATTTTCAATTTTTTTTTCATTTTTGGATAAAGAATATGGAGATGAAAAATATATGATACATTATTTCAAACAAGTTGTTAAATTCACAGTACTTTAATGCAGTACATTTTATTATGATAGAGTTTATAATTATTTTAAACTTTTCGTAGATATTTATGCAAGTGGAATAAATTAAGTAATTAATAAGTAACTTACATCAGATTTAGATGAGTGAAATAAGTTAATTTATCAGATCTATAAACAAATAAAAGAAAAACGCTGCTTTAAGAAAACACTGGCTGCCATCTTAGATGTATCTATAGTTCTGGTTATAAAACAGTGAACTTTGGGTTACTCATTTAAGAACGACAATGTTCTGCAGATGTGTATGTTTGAAGTCAGCTAAAGTTACACATTGTGACTTTATAACATTTTTCAATAATTTTACGTAACCATTTACAAAAGTTAGTCTTGTCTGTGATTTACGGAATTATATTTAAAAAGCATAAGTATAATAGTTACATAGTTCCGATAAATGACAAACGCACAGTGAAATCAAATTGAAACGACTGAAGTCGATGCTTGTAGCTCAGTCTCCCCTTATTTAACTAAGTAACTTTTGACATATCACATGAAGTGTTTATTGCTGTAATTATTTATCATTACTTAAATAAACGCATCAGAAGTCTGGTATATATTCAGAATTTCTGAAATGGAAGTATCCCCCCTTAATTAATAATTTTACAAAAAACACGTTTTATTAGAGCTAATAATAGATATTTAATTACATAAACGCATGAGGGGTTCTTTGTTAGATAAAACTGATTAACAAACAATAAGATATTTTTTATTTTATGTATTAATACCTTTTGTTTATTGAAAATGAAACACAATGAAGTATAATGTAATATTTTTTTATATTTCATTTTGTTTATATTTTACTATAGCATGGGTATAAATTTGAGAATTTCTTGTTTTAAAGGAAATCTGACATAAATATAATTTATATGAGGATTGTAACTTTAATAATAATAATAGGAGTATTTATTAGCAGAAATAAAGCATGGGTACAAATTTGAGAATTTCTTGTTTTAAAGGAAATGTGACATAAATATAATTTATATGAGGAATGTGACTTTAATAATAATAGCAGGAGTATTTAGTAGCAGAAATAAAAAATCATTTATTAAAAATAAAAAAAATTGGTCGAAAGTTGTTTCGATAGAACTTCCCTCGCTCCTGAAGTACAATGAAACATATCCGTCCGTCATCGTTTCTCTGTCATAATGAACTTTTCTACCTGCGATGGTTACCTGTACCTGTTTAGATTAGTGCTTAATAGATTCATCCGCATTCGTGCTAGTGCCAGTTCACTTAAGTTTATGTTTCCGCGTGTTATTGTTTGCGATTTAAAAAAATAAATTTAAAAACCACCCCTTCTGAAGGGTGCATGTTACGCTACTGACTGACAGTCCGTTGTCAAATTCTGATGACTCACCATATTGAACTTAAAATAATCCATCTCTAATAACCCTTGTCATTCAACACTAGATAATAGCAATCTGACGCTCAAGTGTTTATGCATCGAAAGAATGTCACGTAGAAATTAGTTTGATTTGAATGAGTTTGTCTTCTCAAAACGCAGGATTAAAATTATTAATTAAACCACAATCGAACAAAATATTCTGAATATTATAATTTTTATTTTACTTGTATCATTATTATGTGTATTCTTCATATTTTAGAGAAAATGGGTAACTCGTTCTTAATTTGACCAATAAAAAATTTGTGACGACGTCATCAACATGAATAATACTAGTCACAGCATAAAAGAAAATTAGTCACAGCGTATTACCAATGCAAGAAAAAACAAGGACACGTATATCAACTTGGATTGGTGCAGTGTAATACTAAAAACAGTATTGTATTCCGTAAAATTTCTGAGAAAATGGAGTGAGCCGTTCCTGATTTAATCAATAAAATAAATTGACTCATTCATTAATTTTTTTGACCCACCTGTTTAAGCAAAAATAAAAAATATGAATACAATGATAAATCACAAGTAAAAAGTCATCATATTTTGCACATTTTGGGTAAAATTTATTCGGCAAAATTTTCAGATGACGTCATAAATTTTTTGGTGGGAATTAACAATTTACCAGGCTTATAATAACTTTAACACGTCTGTAAGATTTCAAAATATTGATTTATTTAATAAAATAAGTTGACTGATTCATTAATTTTTTGAGTCACCCTGTCTAAAATCTAAAAAATATTGATACAGTGATAAATCATAAATCCCAAGTATTGACTCATCATACTTTGCACATTTATGATAGGATTTATTCAGCAAACTTTTGAGGTGACGTCATCAATTTTTTGGAGGAGATAAGCAAATATATTTTGATTAAAAATTTATCAAGCTTATCATAACTTTAAAACATCTGGAAGATATCAAAGCATTCGGTTTTGCAGATTCAAAATTAAATTGCAAAATGTTGTTTTATAATTTTGATTTTTTTCCCAAAAATCTGGACGTTTCGGGTAAAAACTCAACACGGCATTATAAACTACATGTGCAGGACTATGTTATTTTATACTATTTAAAACCCATTTGCTATGTACAATTTTGAAGTGACGTCATCACATTATTGGTGGGGATGATTAGACAAATTTTGGTTAGTGTTTTACCATCTACATGATATTCATAATATATATACAAAATTTGTCTAATAAAAATCGGGACGGCAGACGGACGCAGAAACAGAGACGGAAACGGGAGACCTTTTTCTTCGGACTCGAGGGGTCATGAAACGTCAAGAAAACGTAAAAGTGGAGAATCGGCCGACAGACTCAATTACAATACTTCTTTTGCGTACGCTCGGGAAGTAAAAAGTGGCACAGGATAATCAGTAGATGAACTCTTTCTATGAACATAGATAGATTGTACTATTTCTATTTACTACTGTAGTACTTTGATTGCTTTTTACTTTAAAGTGCATACAATTTGTTGTTGATTTTCATCCCAGGTTTAGTCAAATATACTTATAAGCGATAAAAAAAATAAAATTATTTTTACGTACGCAAACTTTTATTTTCAGCTTTAAAATCGTGATTATTTTTTAAGAGATACTGTAAAAAAAGTATTATAAGAAGCTTCTAATATGTTCACTAACAAATTTAAGCAAATGAAGTGCGTACTTTTTGTGTAATAAACGATTGACCTAGTTATCTATTTTCCATGACGATTTTTTATTTTACGAAGTATGTATTTCTTGAAGTATGTAATTACTTATCTATTTATACATGTTGTGTAATTATATTTGAAAATATAACTTACCTGAACCAGTTGTTCGTTTTGTTAATGCAAATTCAGGTGATATAATTTGAGACAAATTGGATACAATATTAAAGTGGTTAAGTTGGACTCCTTTAGGAAGTCCTGTGGTGCCGCTAGAATACGGTAGTAGAATAATGTCATTAACATTGACGTTAATAATAGGCTGGCCAGTGTCTCCCGACGAAATTTCATCAAAACTTATGGCACCTTGTGTGTAACTTTTCTAAAACATTAAAAGATAATCGAATTTAGTTTTTATTAAGGTGGGGCTCACATTATTACTAATTTCAACAATTGGTACATCCGTGGCTTGACGGACTAGCGATGTCAGCTCCTGTGTTGTAAAAACTATTCGGGACTTTGAGTCTTTTAGTTGTTGTTTAATTTCCTCTAAAATTAGAAGACTTTGCTGATGAGAAAATAAAGTTAGGTAGTAAAATTTCCCACCTGATGTGTAACTAGGATTGCAGGTTGTTACTCGCAATCCAGCTTGTATGGCTCCCAGAAAAACAATGGGATATTCGGGAATATTAGGCAGAATAATTCCTACAGTTGCTTCTTTACTAGATTTGAAAGATTCTTTTAAGAAACGTGTTAGTGATAAACTTTTTTTGTATAATTGATGGTAAGTGTAACTGCGTTTAGTTTCAAAACAAGCCTGCAACGAAGTACAATGGTTAATAATAAAGGAAATGACGAATAAATAGAATAATGAAAACCTAAATACTTACAACAGCTGTTCTGTCTGACCATTTTTCTAAATTTTGCCACATATATTCATGTAAACTAATTTTTGGTATTTGAAGATTTTTCGCTCTTGATTTTATCACATTTTCGGTGCTAAAATTTTTCACTGCTTGTTTGAACAAATGAAGCTGTCGTAAACATAACATTTTGGGTACCTTCATGAGCTTGTGTTCGTACAATAAACTCCACTTATTCACATTAGGATGTTATCTAACTGTTCTCTGTTGATAATGAATATCTGTGTGTAAATATTAATACTATAGCTGACATTATATGATAATTATTACCACCACTTAAATTCTACTCATTTCCAATTCATGAAAGTGTTTATTATGTGTAGTATTTAAATGTTTACAAATACTCATATTGTATTGTTATAATTTACACAAACAAATTATTTAAAATACCTAGAATTGTCTAGAAGAATGGTAGTGGAGCAGTACGTTTTATTAATGGTATATACAGTGTATATAAATGAGTTTTTTTTTTTTTGTTAATGTCCTTGTATGACTACAAAAGAAGTTAATAAGTGGTGTGTGCCACTGTAATTAGTAGTACAACAACTAAAAATTGCCGAATTAGTTAGTTTTGATGATGATGCATTTTAGACACTTCACTCCAAAGAAACAGTAACAAGTGCGAGACTATGGTTGATAATATACGAAAATTAAAAGTTAAAAATATGGGCATTATGTTTTCTTAATTCCTTAAAAACAGTGCAAGAATTGGAACAAGTAGTGTTTTTTACGACTGTTATATATGTATATCGTTTCTGGAATCAGTGTGAACTTCGGCACTGATATTTAATTTTGTCGCTGATGTGGTTATAGTTGGTTTGTTTTGCGTCAGTAAATAATATTCGGTTATGTGATAACAAATGAACTTCACTCTCTTGACGGACAAGTAATTATTAACTCATTACCTTTGCTCAATTGAAAACTTCAAAATCAGAAATTAATCAGATGCCTTTTGTTTTGAGTAATACCATCATATTTCTTCCATCGTTCTTGTTTAAATACATATGAATATATAATATTTGAGCACATAAAAATACGTAACTCTAGTTTGCAGGAAAATGATAACTTCTACAAGAAATTTTTTCTTTTATTTGCGGCGGCTCTTTCACTAGAACTCAAAAAGTGCCTTTTCTGTTTCATGTTTTTTTAATTGGTTCTTACATTTTATACCTAACCCTGTTGACTATTTTATTTTCCTGACATGTTAAAATATGGGTGCCATCGAAAAAATCCAGTAAGTGTGGATTAAATTTTCAGTAATTTAAAATTTGCATAGTCACCTATCACAGTTTTTATATTGTTATCTAATCTGTTTAATCCTGCTAGTCTAAGCTAACTTTATGGTTAATTATTATTTTTAATTATAATAATTTTCAAGTCATTCTTATTTTTATATGATCAAATATCGGGTCGTTGGCACATAGGAAAATATTAATTCATTTATCTAGATTTACCACATTATATCAGCGTGACAAAAGATTGTGGTGAGACTGAAATAAATGCTTGCCTTGAAATAAATATTTATAACAGTTTTGGTGAGACATCATCTGTCGGTATCAAAAGATTAGGTACCGTGCACGCTGTAGAAATTTTCTTTGCATCTTAAGCATACTCGCTTAATTTTCAAGGTACAATACTTGTATTTTCAGAACTTTGGAAAATTTTGAGTTGGTTTCCAATAATAATACAATAAATCAATTTATATTAGAGATGTACCGACTATAGTCGCCCGACTGTTCGGCTTTGCTAAAACCGGTTTATAAATGCAACAGTGTGTTTTTTTTTTCTATTTCTCTGACTACCTTAAAAAATTGTTTTATTTTAATAAAAGGAATAACTAAAGTTCCTTTGTTTTCCAAAAAATGTGTTAAATTTGTTTGGGTAATTTTAACATTTAATTTTTTTGTAGTAACTCAGTACAAAAATAAAGAATAACACAATTTAGGGCAGTTTATACAATACTTTAACCAATTTTAACCACTTTTTTGGAAAATTTTTGGAAATTTTGAATTCACTTTGCGTGTTTATTGGACCAGATATCGTGACGGCGATTTCAGAATCGTAACTAGCGGAAGATTATCTACAATTTGACACCAATTTTCGGTCGACTAAACCAATTTTAACCTGTTTTAGCAAAGCCGAACAGTTGGCCGACTATAGTCGGCACATCTCTAATTTATATATATTTGTGAGATATCATTCATTGATGACAAGAAAACATATGACTGAAGTAGTACGTAATACTACATCGTGGGGTGTAATATTCATTTCTGGAGGAAATGAATAAAAGCAGTTGCAGTGTGCAGTTGGTTACATTTGGATAATCCCTAAATTAGTGCAAAAGTCTTATCAAAATTTCAAAGAAGATCATTATTTTAGTTCCTAAGGTAAATTGTAAAACTTGACCATTATCTGTTTTTATGCAGGTATTCTTTGTCATGTGTATTTGTAAAATTAAAAATAAATACTGGTTGTTAAAATCACACATCAAGACAGCGCTTTTATTTTTTAAATTTGCAACAAAATTCTATGAGTTACGAAACCCTATTGGAAAACAAAAAATTGCACATAAAAATTAAGTACGTCAAAAATATTTACTAAAAAATAAAAAAATATGGTAAATGTATATGTTCATCAGGTGGGTGCACTTGTTTGTTTATTTGTTTACTTTTAGTTTTATAGGTTATCTTTTTGTGTTCGTTGTTTGTGCAAGAATAATTCCTAACTATGGATAATAAATGCCCAGGTTGTACTGCAGAAGTCGATGCAAATATATCATTACATTGCGATGCTTGTAACCGTCCAATGCATTATTCTTGTTTAGCATTAGCTGCAGATGTGGCCGCTGCATGTGACAGGGCCCGCAGAATGTCTTCGCATGTAAAAATTTTATGCGCGGATTGCGATAATAATTTTAGATCTTTTGTCTCACATTCTGGATCAATTGAGGAGGTATTTACTGAGAAGCTACGTAATCTAATTAAAGAAGAGTATAAGGAGTTAATTACAGATATAAAATCTTTACGATCTGAAGTAAATGTCCTAAAGGAGAGCAACATAGATTTGGTCAAATTGCTGACATCTGGCAACGGTGATGTTGTGGCAACTGCGAAATCTTTGCCATTGGGTAAAAACTCTTATGCTTCGAAGGTTGTTGTTGAGAAAAAAATTGTAGTAAAGCCGAAAAATACTGCACAGTCGGTAACAAAAACTCGTTCTGATGTTCTGAAGAATGTGAATATAATAGAGGAAGAAATTGCAATCACAAAGGTGAAGCCTGTGTCCAGTGGAGGCTTAATAATTTCTTGTAAGGATGAAAATTGTGGCAAAAAATTACAACAAATTGCTTCAACTAGTCTTGCTCAAAATTACGATATTAGAGAGGTTAATGTTCTGTATCCAAGAGTGCGAGTGGTAGGCATTCCTGGCGGTATGTCTGAAAGTCCATTTTTGTCGTATCTGAAAAAGCAAAATCCCGATTTGATTAGTTAATTCTCATTTACAAAGCTTATTCGTTTTTGGCCAACACGCTCCAACCGAGATATCTTTCAAGCTGATCTCGAGGTCGATAGCGCAACATATAATTTGCTTTTAAAGTCTGGTCATGTTCTTGTTGGGCTTAATCCATGCTCAGTGTACGATGCGATTACAGTGCCGCGCTGCTACAACTGTAATGGCTACTTCCATACTAAAAAGCAGTGCAAAAGTCCGGTTAGTTGTCCTTTGTGTGCTGATAAGCACACCATTAACGACTGCTCGCTTTACAAAAGTAAATCCGAATCTTCTGACAAGAAACGCTGCATTAATTGCCAATCTTTGCGGAATCGCCGTGAGAACTTAAACATAAACCATGCTGTTTGGGATTACAATGACTGCGAATCTTACAAGATGGCGTTAGAACATTTTAAAAAGGATTTATTTCGTGACCAACCCCGAAACTAAAATCTTTTTCACAAACAGGCTCAAAGAACAAGGACCGGCATTACCAACTAATAAAAGTTCGTTACTAAACAATAATGAATATTCTAGTATTTCAGAAATTAACTCTTACAACTCATCGTCAGAGACTCTGAATGTTTGTCATCAAAATGTTCGGGGTATTAGATCCAATAAAATCATAAGTACTCTTACATCACAATCATGTATCACCTCCCTTCCATCTACTAATACTTCTCATTTATCTAGCAGCGGAGCTACTCAGGTTCAAATATCCACCTCCAGTAATAAGTTTAGTTTCTCTATTTATTACCAGAATGTGAGAGGTCTTCGTACTAAAACACATGAATTACTTAATCAAACATCTGATGCCGGTTTTGATATAATAGCTTTTACCGAGACATGGCTTTCTGCAGATGTATGTAATAGTGAGTTATTTGAAAACCATTTGTTCAATGTCTACCGTGCTGACAGAGATCCACTTACTACTGGTCTTAGTAGGGGCGGCGGAGTGCTACTGGCCATTGCAAATGATCACAAAGTTGATCTTCTCAGTCTTCATTGGAAGAATTTTTGCTTTATTGATATAGTTGGAGTGAAGATATCTTGTAAACATAAATCATTATATGTGTTTTGCATTTATATTTCACAAAAGACACCAATTCTCGAGTTTGAAGAGTTTTTTAACAGTCTTGCTGAATATGTGATAGACCTTGGTCACATCATAATTCTAGGCGACTTCAACTTATATTCATTCAAGTCTAGCATTAGTGCATACAATGATTTTTTATCTTTTACAAACCTGGATCAATGCAACTCTATCCCTAATAACATCAATCGTAGTCTGGATGTGGTTATTCATGATATTGAGCTCACTACATGTGAGGTAAAGCGTGATTTTAACAATATTCTGGAAGAAGACCCCTATCATCCATCCTTAGCTATTTCACTAGAAATGAAACATTTCAAACTCTTCAAAACTCAACTATCTGATGACGTTAAACAATATAACTTTGGTCGAGCTAACTTTAATGAATGTTGATTGGTCCTTTCTTCGACAACAGACTAATGTGAACGCAGCCTGTGCTTTCTTTTATTCTAAACTGTATGAAGTTTTGGATAAGTTTGTCCCTAAAATGAAAAAATGTAAAAGAAAGTACCCTGTGTGGTTCTCGCCTGAATTAAAGAAAATGCTATTAAGTAAAAATCGTCTCTTTATGCTATACAAAATAAATAAATCCCAATTTTTTTACACCAAGTTTACTGAAATACGCAAACAATGTAAGACAAAGCAAAGACTGGATTATCAAGCC